TCCCTAGGAAACTTGCACAGAAGAAGATGAATGGCTATTCCTAATTTTAATGTCATCAGGAAATATATGTTTTTCACGGCGTGCCTATCTGTTTTTTCCTAGAACATCTTCTACATGAGGAGATAACATTAGGTCACTCAATGGTCCAGCCATAATTTTATGATTTTTATAGCTGTACTAAAAACTGAAATGCTGTTTTTCCTTAATCACAAAAAGGGGCAAAATTATTAAGTATGCCCAATCCATACAGTTAAAACACCTGAAAAAAAAAAAAAAAAAAAGCCTGGAGAAATGAATACTTTCTAGGCATATTTATATCGAAGAGGCAGACAGATGCAAACCCTGTGGCCGTGTGGACCACGGAGTCAGAAGTGTGAGGGTTGTTAGTATAAAACCACCTGGATCACTTGGCTCACAGCCACCCCCAGTCAGGCTGTCACACAGCCAGATCACTTCTGTATTGCATTTAAGCTATTAGATGGAACCAGCCTGGCCAAAAGCACTGAAAATTTGTTTCACAAGGAGATCAGCTATTACATTCTCAGTGCAGCCTCTCAGGAACAGCAACAGTCATTATGGCATATTGCAGAGGCTGTGTTCAGGAATTCCTGACACCTTTTTTTTTGTGTGGACTTAATTCTCCTCCTCTTTCCCCCCCCGGAAAGATTGCAAAGTTACTTATGAATTATTTGATATGTCTATTTTTCTAAAACGTATGATTGCATTTGCAGAGATTACTCCAGAAATTTGACAGCACCCATTATTATTTTTCTATTATGTATTCAATGATGGGATGCTCTGTGAGGTGTGTTTGAAAATCAGAACGAGCAGTAGCATAGGTGAATGCTTTCCAGGAAATAAAGAGGCTCCTGCATTTGAATGAAAGAATTGGGACAACAGATTCTGACTTAAACATGCTCTGAGGACACCTGGAGCCAAATCCTTGTTACCCGACAGTGCTACAAAACAAGTCAATGCAAACCTTCCCTTCTTGCATTGGCCTCCTCAGCTCTTTGCTGGGCATGGTAAGCTTTGACCTTTGTAAAGAGCATTAGGGTTCATGGATAAGCTGCACATACTCTTAGCTTTGTGCTTACTCTGGCACGGCTATGCAGTCCTGTTTAATATCTGAACTACATGCAGGTACGGGGAATACTACAGTGTGAGGGGAGAATCAAATGTTCCTTCTGGAAATAAACTGGGAATTTTGATTACACATGTGAAATCATCTGTGGTGGAGTTGATGTGTGTATCATTTCTCTTGAGAGCTCCAGCACTTCGGCGTCACCTCTGTGGTGATGCTGCATGGCATGATGACCAGGCCTCATGGGGCCAGAAGGAGTGGGACGTCAACATGTGGACCAGTGGTTGGGGTTTTTGCCTGTCCCGGGAGAGACTGAGGTTCCCAAACAACTTGGGTGTAAATGACAAAACCTTTGTGCCCTGCTGCGCGGGTGAGGGTTCAACTCTACACATCAGAAAACAAAATAAGAAAATGCACTAGATCATGGAAGTCCGCCAATGCTCCTGGGAGCCAGGAGATGGTGGTGGGAACACAATCCCACTGAGAAAAGAATAGTGGATGGAACTTTTCTCCTTTCAAGCACTCCAACCTTTACTCTCTTGCATAAAAGTAGGGCACCCTCTTTCTCAGTAGATGTCTCACAAAAGAGGCGAGCCCTACACCTCTCTGAGGACGAGCACCCACTCGTTCCTGTGGAAGCTTTGGGGATGCTGGGGGCCTGCCAAGGTGAGGGGCTTCCTCCAATCCTGACAAAGCCTCCCAGCCCTGTGGACAACAGGGCAACCCTATTCTGAGATTTCAGCATCTCTCCAGGCAGGTTTCTGGTTTGCACTCTTTTGAGGTTCACAGGGTTAAGAAGGTCCTAAAGTGGAGGAAGGCCACAGGTGTTCAGAAGATCTCTGTCTTCTTCAGAATACTGTATTTGGCAGAGGGCAGCTGACACCACAATGCATACAAGGGAGATTACAAAGGGATGCAATGAACTCTCCTTTGGTCTGGGAGGCTGGAGCTGTAGTTAATACCAATTTGCACATCTGTTCTGAATTTGGTGCTGACACAACCAACTGGACTTCTCATGCTTGTGGTTTAAGCCAGTAAGCTACATGGATGCCTCATGTAGAGGCACCTGGAAAGTCTGGGTTTTTGGGGGACCACTTGCCATAACAGAGCAGGAAGACCTGCCCATAGGTGGGGATGAGGCAGTGCCTCTGCTGTGGGAAGCACCAGTTCATCTTTCATGGTGTGTGGTGAGGGGGTGCACCCAGTCCTGCCCCAAAGGCTGTGACTGTGCCCCAAGAGCACATGTGGCCATGCACCCAGAGCAGACTTCATGGGCAAAGTCCTGGCTAGTGGCTGGGCAAGGAGCTAAGATAATGACTACCAGAAGGCAAATGTGCATTCCTCCAACTAGATGAAATGTTCCATTTCCCAGCTGAAAAATAAAAAAAAATAAAATAGAAGGAATCCAATTGAACCGGCAAAACGCTTTGCAGTCTGAAGCAGTGCAGGATTTAGTTCTTAAACTCTGAAGGGGAATAGACAGAAGCCCAAATGCTTCTGAAAAGGAGAGCCGGGAAGCACTCACAGCTTATCCCATAATAGAACTTTTTAGCACTGACATGCTCTAAGGTGCATTATTTTACTTTTCTCACATTGTCAGCACAGTATAATACAGGCACTACCTCAGTACAGGCTGCCCTTTGAATCATGGGAGGAGAAGAAGAAACCAGTTCTTACTGCCATCATTCGAGTGGCACGTGAAACATTCTATGTAGCTGTCATTGGGTAAAATCACTAAAAATTCATTGTCACAGGAACTGCTCCAGGTACGGAGTGAGTGTCACTCCCCTGTCCGCTCCATTTATCAGCTTAGATGATGTTTTCCAACGACCACTTTGATATGACAGGTTACACCTGCATTTCCCAAGCAGAAACAGCTTTTGTGCCCTGTTTTGGACCTCTGCATCCCAGTACAGAGGCTCTGGAGAAAACCTGTAGCGTGGCTGTTCGTCCAGCCTGCCTTTACCATCAGCCTACACGGGCTACAGCGTGTTTGAAAATCCCAATAAAAGGCCAAACTCCCATTTGTAGCTACATTTTGAGCACTGATCTCTGGTTTTTAATCCATTCAAGCCTATTCCAAGCTGAACATTTTATTGCTTTCGCTGGTTAACCAGAGCCTTGTGAAGAGGAAGGGGGTGATGCTCATCTTGCTGGAAGGGGCAAGGACACGTCCATGACGTGGGCAGCGCTGGTGGAGGACAGCCAGCCGAGTCAGCGGGCACCAGCAACACCTTCCACACCTGAGCTTTTCCAGAGAGCTGAAACTGCTGGCAGGGAGCCCTGCCTTCCCTGCACGGTAGGTTGCCTTCATCCCTCCTTTCCTGCAGCAGCACCAGCTGTCACTTGTCTCCGGAGTCAAAACATCTCCGTGCGTATCGGCAGCCAGTAATTGATGCGAAAGCAGTGAACCCACCTTGCCAAGTTTGTGAGAGCCAGTCTAATGAGAAGCCCTCAGCTGACAGCACCACGTTTCCTTCAGCGATGGACGAGCATGCATGACTATCCATGGTTTCCTAATCATTGTCATTTGCTCAGCCTCCCTATTAAGGAACAGTTTCCTGCCTGGGGATTTTCTAATCATGGGATTAATTGTCACTTCTAGAGTTATAGAATACTGCTCCCATGACATTGTTCAGATTCACAGCCCCAAGTGCAGAGACAAGAGAGGAGATAAAGTTGTTTAAAACATTTTGCCTGTTACTTCTGCTTTTTTAAAGAGCATTTTAGGAGTCTAACATGGAGAGAAAAAATAATAATAATAAAAAAAAGTATCTACATCCTTGAAATCCTAGATAAGAAAGTACTGTCTTTTTCTTTCTCAAGAAAAAAATGAATCAGCAGCGTGTTAATAGAGATCCTCATTAATTAATAGCAGAACTACAGATGAACTTTCTCCCTAACGGAGAGGGAAGCCTGTTGTAATTCCACTGATTCCACAGGCAGTGTATCAGAGCACTAGCAACCCCTCAGAAATCAAAATTGCCTCTGCACATATCCCCTTTTACCCAACATATTGTCAGATGTTCTAAGTGTCTATATCTTTCCAACTGAAAGTGAGGTCTCTGGTCCTTGGGCTGCGGAAGGAATGACAGGGTACCCCTCGTCAGACTTTTAATAACTTGAAACTTAACCTGTACAACGTGTCCCAAGAGTGAAGTGACACACAGGCAGCACGCAATTAGGCAATGACATCAGGCACGGAAATCTGAAGGAAAGATGAATCTCACTAGCACTTTCATGTTTTTCTTACATTCACATGTTGCGAGGGTGATGTTTGTTTGGGGAGATGAATGAATACGCTTCCCCTGTCATTCAGCAGCATTCACTACCGAGTGATTCATCCGGTGCATTCAGAACAGCAGCCTCCAAGAGACACTGCACCCCCCACTCAAGTTAAAAGCAAACAAACAAACCAACTAATTAGAACCTGCCCCCGTGATTAAAAAAAAAAAAAAAACCACCACAGAACACAACCACAACAAAAACACCCTTCAAAAAACACTCTCACTTCTGTACAATGTTTGTTGCAGCTGGGAAATCAAAAAGAAATCCCTTATGTCAAAATGATGCCTATAAGAAATTAAATAAAAGACATGTTAAACTAATACAAGCTTTTGATTAAAGACGCTTTCGTAATTACAATACCTCTATAGAAAAATGGTACTGTCCCCTCTGGGAAGGGGACACAATTGGCCAAGACCTGAAAGTCTGAACTCCAATTCCTACAACTATTTTGTTTTTCAGTAAATGCCTCGCTCATGCTGTCTGCTGCCTTTACAGGGGAAAAACCCACAAATATCCGGGCAAAAAAGTTCAACAATCCCAGTTGCCCACCCCCCACCCCGCAGAGGTGCTGAAAATGCACCAAAGCTGCAAGCACTTGGGAAAAGTAACGTATGCCTTAAAGGAATACCTTAAAAGAGTAGTAAAAGGATCCCCACTCCTCTTCTGTCACCACCTCAGTGAAAGTCACCGTTTCGGTGCAGGTGACGAGGGTAAGGTCCAGCCAGCCGGTGCCTCCCTGGGAGCTGCTGCTGGCTTCTGTGGAGCCCACCTCCATCTCTGGATTTTGTTCTGAGTTGTCTAAGGGCTTGTTTTTGCGAGAGTTAACGCAGCCAGGCTTCTCCGGTAAAAACGCAGCAACAAAACCAGCTCCTCACTGCTCCACCACTGGCTACCAGAGGCGTCGGGCTTCAGTGCAGCTGAGTGATAAAAAAAAAAAAAAAAAAAGAAAAAAAAAATATCAAGCTGGAGTCGTCCCTTTGAGCTTTCCTTTGGTACAACTCTGACGACAGCCATCCACATGTGCTTTCTAGCAGCAAGAGCTGCAGCGGGTAAGAGAGTCAGCACACGTGGACCCAGCCATGTGCCCTGTGGGCTCTGGATTGTCTTGCACCTCAAAAGTTGCCAGCTCAGAGTCAGGCACACCTGTAAAAGCATGGACCTCCTCCCTTCTTGCAGCTCAGGCACCTGGCTATTCCACTCAGCAGTTTTGCTGACTTACCCTAGCTCAGCCCACTTTGATTACCATTATGAGCAGAATTACGGTATATCCATATACAAGCACCAACACTCTCCCCTGTATTAGCAAAACCCCATGAAGTTTTCAGGCTTAAGCTATCACAGTTTCCCTGTCAGTGCCCATCTGATTTGTGAAATTGTCTTTACCAAGAAAAAAAAAAAAAATCACAAACCATAAGCAGGCCTTCGCGCTTAACTTTTGCAAAGAGCTCAAACCTTCTGCACACTCAGTGCAGGCAGTGCTTGTTTTGCTGTACGGAGAGCCTGCCTGGAAAAGTAGGGCTCCTGGGGATTGCTGATGTCACTTAGAGGCTCAAGGACTCTTCAGAACCAGGTAATCAATTATCTTTCTACTTACCGACTTTCTGGGCACCTAGTTCACTCACCCTCCATTGATTGGCGTGTTTTTCCCCATCTCTGGTGGTGTTATCCTGGGTTTACACCAAGACACCACGCTTTCCCTGGCCACAGCACAAAATCACATGTAAACCTAGAGCTTGTTCAGCTTTGTGGGGATGCTCTGCCTCGATACCCATGCAACCCTCAGCAGAACATGATGTATTTTCCCAGCCATGCCCTTCCTCCCGGCAGAACCTTTTCCTTTGCTTATGTGTGTGTGTAAGCACAGACGGCCATGTGGGAGCTCAGGAGGAGTTAAAACTCCTCTCTGGGGCCAGCACAGCGTACCCTCTCCTCAGCTGCTGGGACAGGAGTCTCCACAACATGCCCACAGCATCTACATCTGTGGTCCAGTCAGGGCTGTGCCCACCCCCAGGTAGGTGAGCAGCAAGAGAGGGGAGGCTGCAGGGCCCTCCAGCTCCCAGGGATGGTAATAGCAGGGAATGGGCACACAACCAGTGAAATTCAGGTCTAGGTTTTCACTCTGAACCCTCCCAAGTTGGGACGTGTCTGGAACTGGGGCTTTGGACCACGCTGTTCTAGGGACTGGAGAAATCTCTGGATGTCTGAGCATTATTCCAAACTCTCCAGGAGATCATAGAATCACAGAATGGTTAGAGTTGGAAGGGACCTTAAAGATCATCCAAGTTCCAACCCCCCTGCCACGGGCAGGGACACCTCCCACCAGACCAGGTTGCTCCAAGCCCCATCCAGCCTGGCCTTGAACCCCTCCAGGGATGGGGCAGCCACAGCTTCTCTGGGAGATGTTGGATTCATTTAGAGGAGGTGGTTGGTCCAGGCCCACATAGACAATGAGTACCAGTCATGATGAGAAAGGATCACCATTGATCCATATACACTAGTGATCAATATTTAACAGCAGCAAGTGATGCATAGGTTGGAATGTGATCAGAGAAAAAACTATCCCAGAACCACTACGTTTTGATGAAAACCATTGGGAAAATGCTCATTAATATATTATCTAAAAGAGAAGAAGAAATCTTTTTGAAGTTTTTTTCCTGACTGATCCTACAGTGAAGTATTTAGGTAGTATCCAAGCTTCCTGAACACATCCTAACAGTTTTTTTCTCTTCTTCCTTCCTCTTATCTTGCTTTCTTATACTCACAGAACCCTCCTTCTTAAAGTTTAAAGTTATTGCACTGAATGTGTTTTTGTTTTTTTTTTTCCTTCCTTCCTCTTATCTTGCTTTCTTATACTTACAGAACTCTCCTTCTTAAAGTTAAAAGTTATTGCACTGAATGTGTTGTTTTTTTTTTTTTTTTCTGGCACTCTCATTCCTACAGAGCTGTTATGCTCAAGTATATGACAGGCACTAAGAGGTTTTTCAGAAGTTACATTGCAGGGCACATCCTGCACAGCTCTCAGGACTAACCAAGAGCGACTCGTGGCTTTGCCAGCTCCTTGCACTAAGTAGCGCTTATGGTGCTAGAAAAGGCTACACCGTGCCCTGCTCCGGCACTTTCCAGTCTACACAGGGGTAATTCAGGTCTTCCATTACTATTAGCTTTTCTTTCTTTAAGTATTTCTCAGTCACTCTCACTGCCCTGGCTTGTTGATGGCTGGTTTTGCTGAAACACTGTTTTCTTTCCATTTAGTCACAGACCACGGGCTGTCTACGCTACCACATCTATAATTAACCTAATTCTCCAGGGTACAACGTTTTGTTTTCAAACCTCTACAAAGTCGTGCCAGCTCTCCAAAATTTGGTGTTTGGGATGTGTTTCCTATTTTGTCTTCCATGATGGAAACTCTTGTGTGGCAGTACTTGTTGTGCATGGTGTTGATAATTTGCCAAAAGTCAGCCAATCTAACTGTTCCCATCTGTCCACTTCTCAAAAAAATTAGGCACATCTGAAATGGACAGAAAATAAGATCTGCTGAAGTCTGTATTACTTTTTACAGAGAATTTATAGTAGATTTCTCTTTGCTGCATTTAGGCAGTATTGGGAGTAAATTGAAAAAATATTTGGATCCTTGCTGTTTGGAGTTCCCTGCACGCTGGTGTAGTTGGACATGATCATATTAAATGCAAAGAAGAAAAAATGTTACCAGACTGCATGAAGAAAAAGAATGAGATATTCCTTGCTTCTAAAAGGACAGTAAGCTAATTGTTTTTGTGTAAAAAAACCTCCATGCTTATCCAAATCCTTCTATGCTGGCCTTGGAAAGGGAAGGTCAGTTATTCTTCCCAGTGCATAGCCCTTCTCTCCAGAAGTCGAACATCTGGGATGGCACAGAGGGGTTCAGCTGCTGACTCTGGAAGTACAGGAACACTGGAGAGCTGTGATGCCACATCCCTACTGCCCAGGAGAGAAACAGAAATTAGACATTAATGACACAATTCCTGTTGTCTGATGTGTGCTCGCTTGTCTTTAGCTTGAGAGCTGCTTACCATGCACCTTGTTTCCTTTTGGGGCTGTGCCTCTGGAGGAGTGCACATCTATTCATCACAAGTAGGAGATACCCAAACAGGCTGAAGGGCTGTCCTCAGAGTCAGGACTGACCAGGGCTGCAAGTGTCCCCACAGCCTGGGCTGTGGCTGGGAAGGGACGCCCGTATTTCTGGAGTCTTGGAGGAGAAGCAAGGGAGCTCCATATGTGCATTGGCTGGGATGGAACTGTTCCCCCTGCATTTGCGCTCACGTTTTTATACTTTTTTTTAGCCCCTCCAGCTGGAGACAACATCAAGTTTCTAAATCTTCAAAGACTTGAAATAGCAGTGCTGTTTCGTGAGCTAAACACACAGTTACTAGGTTCCCTTGACAGAAACCTGTAACTCCTGTTCTCCACCTTTCTGAATGAAACGGCTGCAACAGGATTTGGAGGACAGAGCCAAGATTTCAGAAACTGGTGTCAACCTCACTCCCAAGCATTTTTTTTTCAGGATTCGTGCCGCCTGGAAGCCTGGCAGCAGCATACTGACACTGCCAATCTCAGCCATCCCAAGCTGCTCCGTGCAAGTGTGTGAATCTCAGCTACACACTACAGAGAATCCTGAGTTGTGACTCTGTCCCACACGGGTCACCTTGGGCCACGGGGCCGACAGCTGAGTTTACTGGTTTCCCAAATTTGTGAGTGCTGGAGTTAGAGGCTGACAGCTGACGCTTTCCCTTTTACAGAGAAATTTGTGTTTGCTTTTCATCCAGAATCTGAACAAATTCAATTTTGAAATATTAAAGCCTTCAGAGAGTAATATAACTGCTCTCTGCTGGGCTTCAGCCTGGTCTGTGACCTGTCAGTGTCTATCTGGCTTCGAATCAGATCCCCTAACTGCCAGCAAATGGATTCTTCCCATTGATTTAAGTTTTGGATCAGATCATTCGCAAAAGTCTAAATTTTACCCATAGGAAAGTACTGGAGTCAGAGCAATTACAGAGCATTTTTAAAATAGCAATGACAAAATACGAGCACATTGTTCCTCCTCCACAGATAACTTAAAATTTAAAAGGAGGAGGTTTTTTTTCACATCTTCATTACTGTTTGCAGTCTTAATTCAGATTGGTCCATTTTACAAAAAAAAATACATAGCCATTTATCTGTTTTTGCTAAGAAGCTCTTGCAGAAGAATAAGCAATTCTTAGAAATTATCTTTGAAAAGAGCAAGCAGATGAAGAAAACACATAGAAGAATGCCATTAAATATGAATACCATGTTAGCGGAACTGTCAGACACCCTGAAATTTCGAACCCCTTTGCTCTTTTCCCCTCGATATAACCATCAAGAAAATCACATATTTCACAAGGGCCCGATTCTCCATTCATTCCATCTGTTGCAGAGTAGGATTGCTTCCTCTTCAGTGACTGGAATTGCAAGTAGCTTTTGCAAAAAAACCAAAGGAGTCAAGCCCCACGAATTGAAACAGACGCCTGATAAATGTGCATTCCTATAAAATATTGCAGCAGGCAACACAGTCCCTTGGAGTATTCCTACTTTTAAGGAGCTGAGCAAGCAGCCAACATGTATGGCATCCATCAGGTCCTGGCAAGGAGTTACGCGCAGGGATGCCGCTAGGTAGGGAGAATAAATTCACAACCCACATTGGCACCCGGAAGACTTTTTTTGCCTTCAAAATCTTCTGCTTCCAACTGCCAAGGCACTGTCGGCTCTTCTCGAAGCCCGCTGGCGTGCCCGCTGCAGCTGGGAAGGGAAAGCAGCTCAGAAGTAAAGCAGCACCGCCTTTCCCAACCCCATCACACCATATGTTCATTCATGGGGCAACTGCAGACAACAAAACACCAGCCCCATGGATGTCCTGCTCTTCTCCTCCCACTTAAGGCCCCAGTTAACTACGCTGGGTGCTAAAGCACATTGAGAGGGGGGCAGAGAGGCTGTGGGGGCACAGGCACTAGTTCCCATTTAGTGTACAACTGGCGTCAGCAGCTTGTTGTGCATTTATAGTCTTCTGAGCTATGACCCAGAGCCTCAGTAGGGCCAGAGCTCTGCTTCATGCAGTACAGGAAAGCCACTGGAGGAAAATTGGGTTCGAGGTTTCCACAAGCCAACTTCTTGCAGAGTTTTAAATTGCCACCACTGACACATATTGCCTTTAACATATCTAAAGAGGAATTCTTTTCAATGCAGTTTTCAAATTGTTGCTTGAAAGCATTTTTCTTCCCTTTGCCCATTTTTGATTGAGCTAAAACCAGTGTAACAGGCAGTTGGACTAGATGATCATTGGAGGTCCCTTCCAACTGAAAATTTTTCTTTTCTGTTCCATTCCATTCCATTCCAGCCCATTCCAGCCCATTCTTAGTCAATCCTTAGTCCATCTTAGACTACAGCATATGGATATCACATCATATCTGTTTTGGGAGAGAAATACTTCTCTCCTCCCACTCCCTACGTGCCCTGTCTGCTACCTCTGGTGGTTGCGCACAAGATGTTGGTTGTTTCCATTATTTCCACTCAAGCCTGCGCTGATTTAGGAGTTGCTCCCCTGTTAGAGTGGAGAGGATGCCTGGAGCCAAT